TCTTTTGCCCCAGACTCCCAGTTAGCTAGGATCACAGGCATGCCCTACCATGTCCTGCCTGTTTAAGCTGATCTGGGAACCAAACTCAGGCTTCCCATGTGGCCACAACCTCGTATAGCAGTGCCCTGCTGCTTGTGCCACATCAGCCAGGCCTCAAGGTCAGTTTACCCTCTTAAGCTTCCCCCCCAGAAAATGATATCGCAGCCCAAATACTAAGTTAAAAATTATTATGAGAGGGTCCAGCAGGTTGCATGATGGTTAAAGATGCTGGCTGGATTCCCACATGCCCAACCGTGACTCAAGTCCCGGACGTAGTAACAAATGGAATTAAATAAATAAATCTTTTTGACAAAAATATTATGAAAGCATTATTGGAATTATTTTTGTATATACATAATAGTTGTTATGTTAAAGAATCTTTTTTTCTTTATTTATTTATTTTTGCTACAGGGCGTGTGCGCTCGCCAGAAAGACAGAGAGAGACAGAGAGACAGAAAGCAAGAAATCACCCCCAGGGGGGATGACACACCACAATCCCTTTTCCATTCTCCTCTCAGGATCTTGGGCATATACGTACACATGCCCAGCATGAGTTTAAGCCGCCAGGTCTGGGACTCAGACTGTGGTCGACTACATGGGAGTCCAGCAACATAGCCATTACGCTAACTGCTGGTCCCAAGAATCTTTTGGCCTGGCCCACAATCTAATGGTTAAGAGGACTGGATCCCTTATGACCAATCACGGTTCAGATCCTGGCCCCAACAGTGCATTAACATGCCAGGCACATGTACATGCATGCCCAAAATCCCAGCAGGATGTAAACACTGAGGAGGAGGAATTGTGCAACCATGCCCATTTTGGAATGCTTTTTCCTCTCTCTTGCTTGCTCTCTGTCTCCGTCAAGTGCACATGCCCTCTGGCAATTAAGAAAAAAGAAGGAAGAAAGAAAAGGAGAGGAGGAGGGAGGGAAGAAAGGAGTTAGGAAGGATCTTTAATGTTTAAAGTCTGTCAGGAAATTATGGCATTCAATATAAGAACTGTTAATGTTCTGTGAATAGGATTTCTAACCTAATATACTTTTACCTCTGATTTTTGGAGTACTAAGAATTCTAAAAAGTTAAGAATGAAGCAAGTCTTGATAAACTGACAAGTTTGTGTCTTACCAGAGCTTAGAATAATTTTACCATGCTTTTTCCCCCCAATAATGTGTATATTTGTTGGGTTTATTACTAATTGATTTTGTCAGCTTTCATCTGTAAGATGACTGGCCTGAATCATCATCTCTATAAAACATGTAAGCTCTAGTCCCTGTGGACTGAAGTCAGTTTTGCTCACCTCAGAATTTCATTCCTGGTTCACCCATGGTGGCACAGGCAGAAGAGTACTGCTGCGAGGTGCTGGAGTCCCAGGGAAGGCCCACGTTCTGAACAATACACTGGTTACAGTGGTAAACAGCTGTCATCCTAGCTGGCTGGGAGGCTGGGTAGGAGAATTGTAGTATGACCAAACCCTGTTGAATGTACCAATTTCTTTGTCAGTTTCTCTCTTTTTCTTTTTCTTTCCCTTTCATTTAAAAAAAAAAAAAAAATCCATTCCTATCTAAAGAGAAAGCAGTCCCGAACAGTTTTACCTTTAATCCAGATTTAGTTTGTTGAATATTTTCTGGTAGAAACAATGACTAATATATTTAGCAGTGACGTGCAGCTTAATTGTGGAACATTTTTTATTTAAATACTTTAGTACTTTACACTTCAACTTTTTGAACGTTTTAACCTATGATAATTGGCTTCATTTATATTTTACCTTTAATCCACACATGCTATATGATGATACACTAATGATGGATATAAACCATGTTTGCTACATTAGAATTAAATGTGACTTAATAGCTTACTTTATTTTTAAAAGGAATTATTTAACTTTATTTATTTTTATGTTTATTTATTTAATTTGACCAGAGAAGGACAGAGTGAGAGAAAGAGGGAAAGTAAGAAAGCAAGCTTCCAGGTCCAAGACTTGAACTGCCATCGGCCACGTGGGAGTTCAGCATCTTTAACCACCATGCCACTGCCGGCCCCAATAACTTACTTCAAATATTTTGTTTGAGTAATGTACTTTTACCACCAAACCTTAATTGTTTTTCTTCAGTTTGCAAAGACTTTTTCTCTATTTTTAAGCATTATTTGTTTAATTTTACTTCTTATTATCATTATTATTAGTAGTAGTATTCAATTTGACCAGAGAGTGAGAGAGAGAGGTCAGATCAGATCTCAAACCTCAGTTGGCGATGTGGGATTCCAGCGCCTTAACCACCACACCACCTGCCAGCCCTTGCAAAGACTTTTTCAATACCCAGAATATACTCAATAAACCTCAGTCCTATTATAGGAAATTTCAGTGATACGTCAAAATAGGGTGACTTTATATGACATGTGGAAACATGTCTGTAATATAATTTTATTTTATATAGTATGATACTAAACTCTTAATTTGTTTTTCTCTTTAAGTTGTTTTTTAGTTTTTTGCCATGGGTGTGTGAGCTTGCCAGAGAGAGAGACAAAGAGGGAGGGAAAGTGAGAATTCACTGGGAGCATAGCCATGCCACAATCCTTTCTCATGCTTTTTATTTTTTTTATTTATTTATTTTTTTAATTTGACCAAAAAGAGACCCAGAGAGAGGGGAATTGAGAAAGCAAGCCACCAGGTCCAGGACTTGAACTGTGGTCAGCCATGTGGATGTGTCCAGCATCTTAACTACCACGCCACCTACTGGTGCCAATCCTTTCTCTTCTATTCTCCCCTCAGGATTTTGGGCATACCTGCACACATGCCTGGCATAATTTTCAAACTGCTGGGTCAGGGACTTAAGCTGCGGTCATGTTTTTATCTTTAAAAAATAATTTTGAATGAGATCATAATTTACTTTTATCTAATATTGTTGAAATTCTCTCTCACACACACACACAAAAAGAGAACAAAAGCTGAATAAAGATAATCCCAAAGGAATTTTTCTTTTATATTTTCCCAATTACTCATTCATGCTCAAGGCATGGCTGTCCTGAGCCAACATAAATATCACCTGACCAAGCTGGATCTTTGGTTCATTTGTTTGAAACTATTTATTTAAGACCTACTCTGGGGCCAGAAGGTGGCATAGAGGTTAAGTTGCTGGATCCCACATGATTGCCTAAGCTGTTTGAGTCCCAGCCAGACCTGGCAACTTGAAATAAATGCTGGGCACACACATGTGCATCCCTGCCCAAAATCCCAAGAGAATGGAGGAGAAGGAATGGTGTCATGGCCATCCTCCCTGAGGGGTGATTTTTCACTTTTTCTTTCTGTCTCTCTGGCAAATACACATGCCCTATAGCAAAAAAGGAAAAAAAAAAAAATAGAGAAAGAAAGACCTACCATGTAGTTCCATATCCAGAGATATGAAAATATGTAAGAAAGACAACACCTGTCCTATATCTTTTGATCCAGTAAAAACTTTCCTCAGTAAAAACTTGTTAGGTTGGAAAGTTAGAAAGCACTGTAGTAAATTAGTCACTGTTATGTTATCAGTAGCTGATAAGCATTAGTTAATGCATTACATTTATAAGGATATTTGTTTTAAAAGGAATTCTGCTGTTAATGCTTTTTTTAAAAAGAATTATCTTAACTTTATTCATTTGGTTATTTATTTTAATTTGACCAGAGAGGGACAGAGAGAGAGAGAAAGGGAAAATGAGAAAGTTCCAGGACTCAAACTATGGTCAGCCATGTGGGAGTCCAGCACACTCAACCACCACGTCACCTACTGGCCTCTTTAACTCTGTTTTAACCAAAGGAACCAATCTGCACAGTTCAATGTATTTTTAAATTATTTACTTAATTTTATTTAGTCATTTATTTAGTTTAATTTGACTAGAGAGAGAAGGAAAGTGAGAAAGCAAGCCACAACTTGTGGATCTTGAACTTCAAGATCCAGAACTTGAACTGTGGTCAACCATGTGGGAGTGTCCAGTACCTTAACCACTATGCCACTTTCTGGTCCCACAGTTCAGTTTTAATTAAAATGGCAAGTTGGTGTAAGAGATTTTGAAGCAGCCCAACCATTTAGTACCCTTTAGTTTAGAACATTGAGGCTATGGGGCAGATCTCTCCTGTGGAGAGAACAGAATAAGTATAGTTGCATCTTTAGTCTCAGAGAGTCTGCTGTTTATCTCCTGAACTCTGGCTACTACATTTTTCCTTCTCAGTCTGTAAACTATAGCAGTTGAGTTGGAGGCAATTCTGAATTGTTCAGCTTACAATGCTTTATAATATTGAGTTGTTTATTTTGTATGGATTATGTTGCTTCTGTTGAATAGCTCTAGCAAAAAGGAAGAAACTTTTCCCCATATTTTCCAATCCATCACCCTTCTTATGCTTTACCTTTACAGTGGAAAAAGTAGACCGATTGACAAACATTTGTTTTCTGAAAATTTTTGTCATTTACAATCTGTAGCATGATAATGGCTTTTCTGTATCACCATTGGCAATTTTACGCATGTCTTGTAGCATAACTGTTGATCATTGTTTTGTTATATATTTATGTCTGTACATGTACATCCTGTGTATGTGTGTGTATGCATATGTTTATATAATTTAAAGAATAAAAGGCATGCTGCTTAGCCTGACTGCTAATGTGTAATCGTACCTGGTAAACCATTTTTTTTTCTTTCAAATTCCAACGTCAGAGGGATTGAGCTCTCTGTGCTCTGATGAGTCACCTTCAGAAATTATGACTTCCTCTTTTCTTTCATCTCCTGAAATACATAACACTCACCTTACAGCACAATATGGAGAAAAAGGCAAAGTGTTAGGCAGCCAGCCTAATTCAGCCAAAGAAGGAAAAGACCACTTGGCTCTTCTAGATACGAGAAAGATGGAAAAGCCTCAGGGGACCAGCAATGATATAGCAGACTCTTCCGTTTCTCTTGGAGGAGGAGTTCGTTGTAACCGTCCTTCCGTTCCAGCCAGTTTTCCAGAGCATCCTGCTTTTCTCTCAAAGGAAGTTGGTCAAATGGAAAAGCAGACCTTACTTGAGTCTAAGAACCCAAATAAGATATC